CAAGCAATCTCACCTAATTCATCAGCTTCATTGCAAGCAGTTTCTCTGAGTTCGCAGGACTCACAGCAGGTTTCTTCGCATATTTCCGCTTCTCACAGTCCACAAGTGGAGTCTGTTTCAGTCCCGCAGCAGTCTGTGAGTCAGCTAGAACTTAACTCTGAAGATAAACTCATCAATGGTGATGAGAAACGAGTGGAGGAGAAATCTTCTGTGATGAATCAACTCTCAAGTGCCGTGGAATATGAGTCTGCTGAGGACAAAATTGCTGGTTCTGAATTGGAGAACCAAGTGGTTTCTTCCTTGGCTGAAAATGAGGGACATGGTGAATGGGTTGGGAGTGGTATGTTAGCTGTTGATCCGCTACTGGCAGTTCATGAAGTTTCAGAAGGAACTGCTATAGCCTGGCAATCCAACTCCAGAACTACTACTGCATTTAGGAGTACCTTGAAGGAAGGGATGTGTGTGAACAAGGAGGAAACTGAGGACAGAGAAGAAGGGAATGATGGAAAGAAGCTTCAGGGAATCATCAACGCACATACTGATGCTACTAAGGATTGTGATTTAGATCCGAGCTCTGAATCAAACTCCAGTTATCAGGATGCACCAAAGAGGAAGTTAGTTGGGCATCTTACTATTTTGAAGAAATTCTTGTATATTCCTGGTGCATTGGGGACTCATGTTACTACATTAAGAAAAAAGGTTAATATTGCCCATATTGGAATACTTGATAGTGGCTCAGGACTAACAAGGGAACCTGCACTCATGTTACAAGCTGAAGAAAGAGCTCATGGACAAGAACAAAAGAATGCGGTCAACTTCTATATCCTTTGTGCAAAGGATGCCTCGGGTGAAGTCCATTGGCAGAATTTATATAAGGGTTTGCATCGGGTTTCACTGGCAGTAAAGGGAAGGTATGGGGCATTCCAGAAAATAGAGGATGCTCCGAGGGCTACCAAAGCTGGCAATTCTTTTCTGGAGACACTAGGTATAATCCAAGGTTCTCATTCTGAAGATGATGGATATGGATATGAGTATATCAATGGTGGACACCTGTTGACAACCTACACTGCTAAACTTTCTTCTTCAGTTGCTACCTTGATAATGGCCAATACTGAAGGATTGTGGAAAATGTCAAACCGCTGCTTACTTGTAAAACTATTGGTTGGTAAAGGTGATACGCTTGAGTCATTTGTTACTAATGGAGAGCCCTTGCAAACAGCTATGCCATCAGAGAATGAGGAATCAAGGTTGGTAATAGCAAGTGAAGTTTTGGAAGGGCTGCATAAGTTTGATGGCTTCAGATTTGATGATAAAATTCCTGTGAAGTATGTCCGAAAAGGTGTGGGGGTAAGAACTACTGGAACCTGGAAGGAAAAGGTTGGTTATATTACTGGTGGATTCCTTGACATCTTCCTGGTGCTTGACAATGAATTCAATTCAGCTATCCTCCAAACAGCCTTGATAATTGGTGAGAATGTAAGGAGAAGGCTGATAGGTTGTATACTAGTTCAAAGGGAGGGTGCAGGAAATGTTGAGGCCAATGCCAGCTCTCTTTCACAACTTGCTTTACTCGAAGGGACAATTGCTGAAGCTGCAATGGGCCTAAGCGAGGTATTGATGAAGGCGGCATCCAACAGAGTGATATGTGTACTGGTTGGTGGCAGGGTGTTTGTTGATAAGATCATTACAGATCTTAAAACTTCAGATAAAACTGTGTTATCAACTGATATTGATTCAGCCAGTATGATCCCAAGTCTATTACGCAGGGACTGTGAGAGGGGAAGCAAACAGATTCTGATATTAATGAATTCTGGGGCCACTCTTAATCTCATATCTCAGAAATTGATAGAGGTGGTACAAATGTACTATAAAGCAGCAGTAATGTTTCAAGCCAAAATGGGGAAAGGAGAGCATATATCACTCCAGAGCAGTTGTGAGGTACTACAGACTTGGGTACACCATCTAGTGATGACTGAGGACTCCTATTTGTTAGATCTTGGAGAGTTTAATGTGATTCTGGGAATGGGACCACTAGCCAATCATGGAAATGCACAGAAAATTTTCAGTAAACACAGCATAAAATGGTTGGGAGAGGGGCAGTATGCAACAAAGTCATTGTCTCTATTCTTTCTTGCTATGCTCTTTCGGGCTATGAAAGGAGTGACCATGAAGGTTGGAATCAGGAAAGTATGGGTTCAGAAATCTGTGAGGTATTGGGAAGGAAGAGGTGCAAGAATGAAGTGCAAGTGGAAGATCATGGCTGATTCCTATCACCCACCTTGAGGACAAGGTGGTTGTTTAGGGGGGGAGTAATGATAGGAATCTGGGTTTTGTAGGCTATTAATAAGAAATAATAATATTAAAAATAGTAAAGGTACTTGTAGTAGTTTTAATAGAAGGGAAGAGGTTATTAGTAATATCTAGCATATCCATATGTGGGCATTGGCTATAAATAGAAGGGATAACAACGGGTGAGGCAGACTGTTATTTGATTGAATGTTGCCTTGTTGCCTAAGAGTCCCGGTTGCCTTTGTTGCCTAAGTTGAGACTATTCCTATCAATAAACATCATCTTCCCAATCTTTGTTATCAGATCTGTGTTTGGGTTGTTACTGTTCGAACGCATCTCCAGGTTCGTACCAAAGGCGTCGAGTTCTGACCGTCGCGGTTCTCTGCTCTGCTCGGCGACCCTCTTCGTTCGTTCGTATCTAAGCATCACGGCAATCAATTTTCCTCTTCAGCGATAGAGATGTGACGATCGATTAAGACTCCAGGAGCGAATGCTCTGATACCAATGATAGGAACCTTGTATAATCTGAGCACAAACAGTAACAACCCAAACACAGATCTGATAACAAAGATTGGGAAGATGATGTTTATTGATAGGAATAGTCTCAACTTAGGCAACAAAGGCAACCGGGACTCTTAGGCAACAAGGCAACATTCAATCAAATAACAGTCTGCCTCACCCGTTGTTATCCCTTCTATTTATAGCCAATGCCCACATATGGATATGCTAGATATTACTAATAACCCCTTCCCTTCTATTAAAACTACTACAAGTACCTTTACTATTATTAATATTATTATTTCTTATTAATAGCCTACAAAACCCAGATTCCTATCAACTTGCTTGCCCAAGTCGAAGGGCTACACAACAATTCTGGTGGTAGTAGACCGACTATCCAAGTATGGGCACTTCATAGCCATCAAAGCTCCTATCACAGCACGCTCTGTCGCGGACAAATTTGCTAGAGAAGTGGTCAGGTTACATGGCATTCCACGATCTATTGTTAGTGACCGTGATTCCTTATTTGTCAGTACATTCTGGAAGGAATTGTTTGCTCTATCCGGGACACAGTTAAAGTTTAGCTCGGCTTATCATCCAGAAACGGATGGCCAAACCGAGGTATTAAACCGAGTGTTGGAAACATTACGTTGCTTTGCTTGTGAGCAGCCGAGACAGTGGGTTAGGTGGCTCTCGTGGGCAGAATACTGGTACAATACGGCGTTTCAAACCGCAGCCAGAATTTCCCCATACGAGGTAGTGTATGGCCGACCACTGCCAGCCATTCGCAGATTTCTACCGGGAGAATGCAGGGTGGCTGCTGTAGCAGATGCTTTGGGCAGCCGAGATGCTATGATGGTCCGTTTAAAGGAGAATCTGACGAAGGCACAGCGGCGCATGATCACCCACGCTAATAAACATCGTCGCGAGAAGAACTTTGAAGTTGGGGATAAGGTGTTCCTAAAAGTAAGGCCCCATCGACAATCCACAGTATTTCGTCATCATCATAAGTTGTCACCAAAATATTATGGGCCGTTTTTGGTCAAAGCAGGTGTGGGGCCGACAACCTACAAACTAGAGTTGCCTTACTCCAGCCGCATACATCCTGTCTTTCATTTTTCACAGCTACGACAGGTGGTCGGTGATCATCCCATAGAAAGTGAGCTGCCTGAGAGCTTGGAACTGCCTGTGGGGCTGATATGGGAACCTGAAGAAATATTGGTTAGTAGATCAGGAGGAGATAAGGGGGCCACTGGGGAAGAGTTATTAGTCAAATGGTTAGGTCAACCTGGGGATGATGCTACCTGGATAAGTAAGGAGAGTTTTGTGAGCCAGTTTCCAGATTTCAACCTTGAGGACAAGGTTGTTTCTAAGGAGGACGGAATTGATATAAAGCAGCGGAGCAAGGAGATGGGCCGGAAGAAGGGGGTCCAAGACCGAAGCCCCTGCTGGTCTACCGAAGGCGGGGACGGGCCTGAGTCCACTTCCGTGGGCTAGGTTATACATGGGCTGGGTTATTTATTTTAATTAGCTTCATTTATGTTGTTTAATTTATTATTACTTCTTATTATTTTAGGATTTCCCTTGGTCCTGGTAAACAGGTCCTTTAGACTTGGTACACAAGTCTTTGCTTCCCACTGGGACTTTGACTAATAGGTTAAGTATACTTTAATTAGTCGAGTAGTTTCCTAAGAGAACTGGAATGAGAGGAGTATTATATATATACCCTGCACAGGCTTATGCGATCATCGTGAAATATTGGGAGTTATTAGCTAATTAGCTTGGACAACGGATTATCCGTTGATCGTTATTTTTCAGTGTTATCATATACATAAAACGACCTAAAGCCTGTTTGCTTTATTTAATAATCTAATCATGGTTTCTCATTTAGATCAGATTGATTGATGTCTTCCACATATGTAGCACTTTTAGACATTCACGGTTAAAGCAGTTATTTGAATTGATTTGGTTGTCAGAACTGAATCCCATAATTCTTGGACTTTCCGCATCAAAACTTGTAGATCACCTCATTCCTAGGAATAAGGGAATTCCAAGGAATTGGAAATCGATCCAAGCAGAGCCTAAATATTTTGTGAACCGCATAACAGATAACAGATTGCATTTCATTTAAGCTAAAATCAAAATAAACTATGCCTTGAACAAAAGAGAGTAGAGAGAGAAGTGAACGGCAGCATGAATAATTCAGAAATCACCTCAACATATAACTCTGTCATTTCATCAGTCATGTGAAGTGGATAGTCTTGCATTACTTTTGGAAATTGAGACAGGGTTTCCAGATATGCTTGAATCTTTTGTGACTGATGCATTCCCTTATTCCGACAATCAAATTCTAAAGCATTAAGATTTCCGATGGAAGAAAATTGGAGAGTTCTACTTAATTGAGCCTCAATGAGTGTCTTTAAGTAAAGGAAGAGACTTTTTGGATCAGAGTGTAGCATGGACAAAATGTATTCGAACTTCTCACGGAAATGGCTAACGACAATAAAGAAAGTTTCCTCCCTGCAAGTCATGACAAGAATCAACAAATTACATAGTTGAGTTTGTATATAATGCATAATCAACATCTGCATGCATGTCCATGACTTTAAGAGAATGTACCTGCTTATTTTGACTAGATCAGGGATTCGAGACATTACTGCATACTGGAAAGCATCCGCTTCTTTGTTTCTCAGTTGTTGTAGCATGCTATGAATAAATGAAAAGGCATGAATTGGCTCATCCACAGATTTTATATAACTGTACAACGCATCAAGATACTGATGTCTGGTAGAATGAATTAAGCCGCACGCCTAAACAAATAACATATCAAGACAGAAGAAAAGGCAAAAGAGAAGTAACCTACAGAAGTGTTACATTAAGCATGAATAAATGTGATACCTGGTGAAACTGAACCCTCTCGCATAAATGTAACAAGTAAGGAGCGTCCCATTCATGCTCCGGCAATACTTCAAGGAGTGAAACCAATTTTTTTTGTCTTCTCTTTAAAACTTCATTATTCTCATATGCACTAATAGAGGAACCGGTCTCAGAAGTCAAATACTCAAACAATTGACTTAGGGTGCCTTTCGAGATTTTAGCCTTTTTACAAGAAACATAATAAGCAATGAAGTCCAAAATATGGTCTGCCTCTCTTTTTGAAGGCCAGATACTGATGGGTCTACCATCACTATTGCTACAAGAGTAGCCACTTTGCAAAGAAAATGCATCAAGCAATGCAGCTAAAACATTTACTAGTTCTTGGAGCAAGTTTTGGCCTTGAGAAAAAACATCTGCTTCAGCTAGTGTGGTGTATGAATTTGTTGAATCACCAGAAATATGGTTCATTTGTGGATCTTCTTCAACAAATGCCAATTGCAATATATCTAATGTAGCTTCAATGTCCAATTGTAATAGATAAAGCAGGTTGGGGTGTGGCCCGTTGATTGGAAAGCTTGCATTTGTTATTGAACATGATGTGGAAGACTCTTCCAATAGAAATTGCACAAGTTCTTCCCTAATAGATGGAAGAATTTCTCTAGCGAGAGTACCATGGCCTGTAAAATACATAGTCTAGAACTCCTTGCCACATCAAATATATACAACGAACAAACTATATTCCATTTTCTATGCACATAGAAAGTTAATCACGAAAGCATGATGGTATGCATCAATAAACGATTTACAAGAATAACTAATTGCAAAATCTGACAATATAAACAATTCATTTATCATGACATAAGCTCGTGTAAACAGAACCTAAAACCAGTTTGCTGCCTTACCAGGAGGATAAGCAAGACCCTGGAAACAGTATTTCAGGTACACAAGCACCTTGTACCTGTTACATTGTAATAATAGACTGTTAATCCCAAATTAAAGTGCATCATAACATCATATCTGAAGTCACAAGAAGTATTTCCATAAAATTAAGTTCAAAGGACAAATGTATTAATCTACTATGAAATCAGCAAACAAAATCTGATGTTTTACAAAATTCCATGGAAACGCTACCCAAATGACACAGAAGTGTCTCCTTTGCTATTTCTTATAACTGAAAATAGCTCCTCCAGGGGTGCCTTAAAATCACCAAGACCTTTGTTGAACATGTATATCAGTGCTCCATACAACATGTGCTCCCTGCATATGCGAACAACCTACACCCCAAATTAGTTATTAGGATCTGGAAAGAAAATTGTCAAAGCAAATTGCCCAAAAAAAACTAAAAAGGCTTATGTACTAATAGTGAAACATTTTCTAAGCCTTTAGTACTAATATAGTACTCCCACAGTACCAGTTTAAATTCTCATACGCATTCATGCAGCCAACTGAACTATTGAAAGCGAAAACATATATCATTGAGGATGAGTTGAAAAAAGACTTTTGGGTGGTTTTCCTTGGGTTAAAAAATCATCAAGAGTTGTCTTTGTCATTAGTCAGTTCTCATAAAAAAGAACTAGGAACCATGAAATTGGAAGGAGGGAGTAATATTTTCCTGAACAGATTATAAACAACATGGTTAATGAGTTATTAGGAGAACAGCCAAAAGGCACAAAGCAATGCTACTACATTACTACCTGATTGAAATCTAAGGATAAGATATCCATGTGGAGAACACACTGTTCAACTCGTTCCAGCCAACCTTTATTGCTATAATGTTGCACTAGCACTTGCATGATCTTCAGAACAAAAAAAAATAAATAACGGAGTAATTGAGAATAATTGATTTCCCACGATGTATGTCATTAATCATAATATAGACAAAATATCTTAGAGGAATGCCAACTAGTAGAAATTTCTCATGATAGAAATAACTCATAGCATATAAACAGAACATAGTCTGATTCATGTTTAATATTTTCAATATTGAAAGCCTTTTTAGCAGATAAATCTTGTGGAAGACAAAGCCGCTTGCTAGTATTTTATAGAATACAAGTATCATGTGGTAACCCATTAAAACAAAATGCAAAAGGGTGAATGTGCCTGTTTAACTCTTTTTTGTTCTTTATTTTGGTAGGGTGTGGGGGTTATAAAGAGTTACCTCTGGTGGCAGGGAACCGAGCATATCTTTTAATATGTATGGCTCTAAAAGCTCCAGGAATGTGTCTACAAAAGAGAGAAGGAATGAATTGTACAAGTGAAAATGAAGCACCCAGTTTTGAATTTTGATAATTCACAATTTGTTTGAATGAACTAATATATATCAAGTTCCATCATTTAACAAGAAACTATGGCTTTTGAAATTTTAAGTTAGATTGCATGATACCTACAACCTGAAGCCAACTTTTAACAGGAAAAAAACACGGAGAGAGATGCCACAGACATCACAGACAAATGGCAGAAGCACTACAAGCTTTATGAGTGTTCTTACCAAAGTAAAAAAAAAAAAAAACTCAACACATGGGTTTCCCAATTTTGAGAATAAATGGAGAAATGTATGGAAAAGGAATTACCTTGCTGTTTTTCATTATCAAATCTTTTCCAAATTTCATCAAATAGTACATCAGTTCTCTTGATATGGAGACAGAACTCAACAGCAACACCACCAACCCGTGCATACTGCTCCTTAATTTCAGGTTGCATTTGATGGTCTCTACCATTTGACTTATCTGATTGGCACAGCTTCCCATTTTGGTTGTTCAATGCTACCGACATGTATGAGAATACCTCTTCCACGTATGATAATAGTAATTCAACAAGATATGGCATAACAGTCTTCTGAACATCACTTAAATTTCTAGGGAGGTCAATTACACCAAGAGCTTGACCATCATAAAGTGCCATTCCTATGCTCATTGCACCCATCCAATCACCTGCTTTTCTCATAACTTCTATCCGCTCCTTCCAAGGGAGGAGGCGGGAGACAACAAGCTGTGTAGTTCCTAGAATGTATACACTGGCCCCCCTAACAGCTATACAATTGTGATGAGCTTTATCATGGTTTCCATTGGCATTACTAATATATGAATGGTATGAAATCAGATCATCTCCTTGAAGCCCATCAGTGAAGATATTTGCCTTGTGGATCACATTTCCATCTTTTTTAAACAAACAGAGCTTACCTGTTGTTGTAAGAATTACCAGCATCTGTAGTGTAAATGCATTAGTATAAGATGTAGCAAGCAAATTTTGACAAATAGAACCGTTGAGTGGCCAACTTAGATTCAAGAAACATTCTGATTTCTGACAATTAACACTGTGTCATAGGCAGTTTATCACCCAGGAAGTGCATAGAATGGTAGAAGAAGCTGCTTTTATTAAATTGCTGTCATCGAAGTTCAATATTCTATCACCTAGAAAATTCAAGTTATTGGCTTTTCAGATGCATAATGCGTTTTCATTCCATTGGAACTTCACAGCAATAGAAAACTTTGACCTCTTGCTAATTTCCCAATATTATAAATGATATTTCTGGTTATTTCTTATTAGATTTAGCAAGTAATTAGAACACAACCATTAATTATCTAGAGTTCTTGACTATAGGTCGAGATACCCTTCCCTAGTGATATAGCTTCTCAAATTAGTTAGTTCCCTACTTGGATTTGGAGAATGTTGAGCCTTCGAACAGAAAACGTAGCCACTAGCAATAGGAGATAGTTAACTACCCGAGTGTATAATTGGTCTAACCGTAATTCTCTCTCAACAGTGACCTTGTTTAGGTTGCGGATAATTTTAAAGCCCCACTATGAGTAATATGGGCCAAGGTTTGGAAGTTTTATGCAATTTTGAGTGAAGAAAAAGACTATCAGTTCTCGATATGTTTGTCACCCTTACTTTTATAATAATGCTTCTCATCTCTCTTTTCATAAAAACGGCCCGCCCTCCTCCTGAAACACCGCCTCTTTCTGTTAATAACAGAGGATGGCAGAGAGAGAAATGACAACTGGGATGGTGGGCTGAGGTGATCACACCTAAAGAAACAACAAAATTCAGACGAGTGGGAGGAAGAGTACTATTTTCCCCTTATTTAAGAACAGGGGTGATGTATAAGAATGTGCCAACTATAGAGGGATTAAGCTTATGAGTCACACTATGAAATTTTGGAAGCGAGTGATTGAACAAAGGCTTCGAAGAAATGTGAAGATTTCGAAGAATTAAATCAATTTTAAGCCGGGACTCTCAACAACTTATGTCATTCACCTTCTTAGGCAACTTGAGGAGACATAGAGATGCAAAGAAAGATCTGTGTTACTGTTCATTGACTTAGAAAAGGTATATGATAGGATACCTCTAAACGTCTTTTGGTTTATTTTAACTGGAAAAGATATATCACATAAATATATCAGCATCATTATGGTTATGTATGAGGGTGGTACTACGAGTGTCCATACTAGTGTAGGTTTGACTAAAGAGTTCCCTATTACTACCGAAGTGCACCAAGGGTCGGCTCTGGGTCCTTACTTATTTGTTATAGTCATGGAGGGACCCACGAACTAAGTTCAAGAAGATATATCATAGTTCATGATGTTTGCCGAGATTGATGTTTGCCGACATTGTTGTCTGACCAAAGGAACATGTTTGAAACTTCAAGGGAGAGGTAATGTCCTTGAACATATGAACGGGTAAAAAAATGTTGGTAAGAGGCTTAGCATGCCACAATTTCGAACATTGATCTAACGACATCCTCAAAGGAGAAATAGTCATGGATAATATATAGTGATCTATTATGTTATACAAATCCAGTGCGGAAAAAATACTTCAACGTGCCTCATCAGTCAAACCGGACTAGACAGCGTTAGGATGTATAAATGGTCTAAGAATACCCTTGACGAACAACTCTTAAAGATGGATGCTAAACAACAATCAAACCACAAGTGGACTTACCTCTACCACCAACTTAGAGAATATATTTAATCGCTTCAAAATAAAATACAAAAGTTAATTACATTTTATAGGTTCTAAACAAACCTAAGGAAAGATTAATTGTGTACTCCCTCCGTCCCTAATAACTTTGTCAAGTTTGACCGGCACAAGGATTAATAAAGTAAAAACTGCGTGGTTGAGGTTTGTGCAAAGGAGAGAGAATTAACTGAAACCACAAATTCTTTACTTAAATGGGAAAGTGGCAAAGTTAATGGGACATCCAAAAAAGGAAAGTTGGCAAAGTTATAAGGGACGGAGGGAGTATATGATAGACCTAAAATAATACTAGAATAAGAATACTATTAAGTCTTTTAATATTGTATGATAAAAGGGGTTTAGTCCCTATAACTAAATAGAAATGGGCTGGCCCATTAGAAAAAGAATAAATAGGGTGATCTGTGAGTTTAGAGAGGTAGGCAGAAATTGGGATAGACTTGGGAGAGGGGACTGCTCAAAGTGTCTCGCTGTATCTTTCTGTTTTCCTTCTATTTCCGCTACTGTAGTTCTGAGTTCATAATCAATCTAGTATTGATTTCTGTTGCATTTTGGGAGTCCTAACAGTATAAAATCTCCTAATTAACCCTGTGAACAAGAACTAGATTGGGACTGAAAGTCTTATCTTCTTAAAGGGAGGATATAGTAGTATATATAGAAGACAGAAAACCTAGGAGAGAAACCCTAAAGGCCCATGAGCTTATTGGGCCTAAGCTAATAAATACAATACACTATTTACATTCTAACACTCCATCTTCCAACTTTTCACGAGTGATATGAGTCTACTTCGATATGTTTTGTTCTTTCATGAAACACGGGATTGTTTGCAATGTGGATAGCCGCCTTATCATCACAATACAGTTGGTTTAGATTGAACAAACCCGATTTCACCTAGCAGATTAAGTAACCATACCAGCTCGCAAGTCGTCTGAGCCATAACCCTGTATTCAGATTCAGCACTTGTATTCAGATTCAGCACTTGAACAGGAAACAACATTTTATTTCTTGCTTTTCCACGAAACCAGATTTCCTCCAACAAACACACAATACCCAGTAATAGACCGCCTAGTTGTAGGGTCCCCATTGTAGTCAGAACCCTTATTTGATATGATGACCGTGATTTTGGTATAAGAACCGAGGAAGGTATTCTATTTATTAAATGACAATGTACGAGCAGTATCAACCAAGTGGCGGTTGTTGCGTTCAGCAACCCCATTTTGTTGAGGCTTGTGTACACAAGAAGATTGGTGAAGCATGTTCCGTGATCCCATGAATTGATTAAAGGGTGCCGCAAAAAAATCTTTACCATTATCACTTCGTAAAATTTTGATAGAATGGCCAAACGGGGGTGAATTTCGGCACAAAAATTTTGAAAAATATGAAATAATTCAAAAAGGTCTTTCATTAAAAACAACCATGTGTAACGGGAAAAGTCATTCACAAAATATCGAAATCCTAGAGTAGAAGTGACTCGATACGGACCCCATATATTTGTATGAACTAAATCAAAGGGGGACGCAGCCCGTTTATTGACCCGCCTTGGAAAGGATTTACGAGGTTGCTTTCCAAGGTGGCATGACTCACAATCTAAAGATGAAAGACTCAAGAAATCTGGAACCATACGTCGAAACTTTGAGAGGCTAGGATGACCCAAACGGTTATGCAACGCAATTGCAGATTCAACTAAGACACAAACGATTGGATCAAGAGGACGGAGATGATACAAGCCTTGAGATTCATGCTTGACGCCAATCGTCTTCCCCGTACAACGGTCCTGCACAATCACAAAATCAGCAAAAAATATTATAGAACAATCAAGAGCACGTGTAATTTTACTGACGGAGACAAGGTTAAAAGGGTTATTAGGAACATATAAGACTGAGTCTAATGGTAAGGATGAAAATGAGAGTGCTTGCCCAATACCCGTGGCCGACGTTTGAAGGCCATTAGCTAAAGTAATTAAAGGAAGGTGTTGGTGCTTGGTGATACGGGATAAAAGATGGAGATTACCAGAAATATGGTCTGAAGCACTGGAGTTAAGGATCCATGAACTCGTTATGTTTGAAACACAAGCGGTGGACGCATCAGGTGTAGATAAAGGCATTTGAGTTGACTTAAATTCCTGGTATGCTACATATTCGGATGGATGTATAACATTCGGAGATGGTGGGATCTCAACAACATTGGCTGAGCTAGGAGGTCTCCTGTGTAACTTCCAACATCTGTCTTTAGTATGACCAATCTTATGACAGAAGTCACACTTAGGACGATTTCGCTGTGAGTTTCCTTTGTTGTTTCCTCCGTCGGGTGTCATGCCTTGGGATGCAAGAATGATAGTCAGTAGAACTGGGGTCAGCAGATACCGGAGCTGCGCGAAGAATGCGAGCAAAAGCCTATGTCGTAGTAGGAACGGTAGAACTAGAGAGAATTTGATCACGTATTGATAACAAGTTGTTCTAGTTGTTTGTCTCCGTCTTCTGTGATTGGTTGAATGGTATTGTTACTATTGTACTCAAATAGTAATGCCTCAGCCCGACCGAGAAAGTCTTGGAGGTCTAATTCTTGTTGCTTGAGTGTGGCAATCGTTGAACCAAAAGAAAACAGGCTTTGGATATCATTTGTGTAATTAGACTTGGCTTTTTCCCAAATCTGTTTACACGTTCGATATGACTGATATGTAAGATGATGTTTGGAATCCATGGATTGCCACAAAACATAGCACAACAATGCATCCATATTCTCCGATTTCGTCTTCTTATCCTTGATTGAATTGGCATCACTAAGCAAGTGATCAATTTGTCCTTCACCTTTGATCCACATTTCCACAGAAGTAGTCCATGATTGATAATTAACACTTCCAACCAAACAGTCTGTTATGATAACCGGAGCCGAAGCAAATGAAGAGAACTCCGAAGACATGTTTTTTCTCCCTCTCTTTATTGAGTTTCGGGGGGGTCTGAGGGAGAGGGGTTGGGAGCCTGAAGTAATCGGGGCTGAAACTCACTTCATTGAGTTTCGACCCGAGACCTCCCGTAAGGAGAGTGAGTCGGCGACCAACTGGGCTGGACCGCTTTCTCATATATATGTGTGTGTACTTTTTTTAAGTAAATAAAATGAGTAAATTAAAAGGAAATTTATTGTTATTAAAGTCTGTAAATAGAAAGGCAGGGAGAGCACCGGGATGCCAGTCTTGGCTGCTGGCAGTAGCAGCGGAAGAGAGCCAGAGTTCA